GTGTCGTCCATATCTTGATAAATTTGTTATCGTTTTTATCGATGATATATTAATATATTCTCGATCCGAGAAAGAGCATGCAAATCATCTGCGTCTGATTCTAGAACTGTTGAAACAAGAGAAGTTATATGCAAAAATGTCGAAATGTGCGTTCTGGCTATGAGAAGCCCAATTTTTGGGCCATGTCATTTGGATGTAGGTATTAAAGTAGATCCACTCAAAATTGATGCCATTGATAAAATGGGAAGCACCGCGAACGCCAACAGAAATCCCGATTTTTCTTGGATTGTCAGGTTATTACCGAAAGTTTATACAGGACTTCTCTCGTATTGCAACACCATTGACCGGACTAATGAAAAAGAATGTGAAGTTTGAATGGAAGGAAGTACAAGTTGAATCATTTCAAATGTTGAAGGATAAGTTGTGCAACGCTCCACTTCTATCCTTACCTGATGGTACGGAAGATTTTGTGTTTGATAGCGATGTTTTGAAATTGTGTTTGGGTTGTGTATTGATGCAACGTGGAAAGGTAATCACTTATGCCTCAAGACAGTTAAAAGAACATGAAAAACAATATCCTGCACATGATATGGAATTGGCGGCGGTAGTATTTGCTTTGAAGATTGAAGGCATTATCTGTATAGAACTAAGTGCCAAATTTTTACCGATCATAAAAGTTTGCAACATTTGTTCCATCAATGGGATTTGAATATGCGTCAAAAGCGATGGTTGGAACTGGTCAGTGATTACGATTGTGAAATCTTGTATCATCCAGGTAAAGCTAATATGGTAGCTGACGCATTGAGTCGTAAAGAAAAGAGCGGTACTATTAAAGCTACAACATTAAGGACGGAATTATTGCCAAGCATTCACAATGAACTACAAAGTTTCCAAAATGAAGCGGTGATAGAAGATAAGATCGGGCAATAACGACTTGGTAGTTTATTGAAGGAATTAATAAAAGACAGTCGAGAATTGTTATGTTTCTGGAGTAGAGTCTAGGTGCCATGCTATGGTAATCTCAGAGAAAGAATATTAAGTGAAGCTTAAAAATCTCGTTTTTCTATTCACCCGGGTACGAATAAAATGTATCGAGATGTGAACAATTCTATTGGTGATAGGTTCATGTTGAAAGTATCATCCTGGAAAGGAGTTGTTCGTTTTGGGAGTAAAGGTAAGTTGAGCCCAAGGTATATTGGACCATTCCCTATTATTGAACAAGATGAAGAAGTGGCATACAAACTAGAGCTTCCTATGGAGTTAAGTGGTATTCATAACACTTTTCATGCATCAAACCTAAGAAAGTGTTTAGCAAATCAAGAGGTAGCAGCACCGTTACTAGAAATCGGAATTGATGAAAAGTTATGTTTTGAAGAGACCCCTGATGCCATTACAAAATTAAAAGCATTGTGAAGTAAAAAGATCATATTAGTGAAGGTTCAGTGGTGTTATCATAAGGGGCCAAAAGCCACCAAGGAACCTAAGTCTGAGATGAGAGAAAAATATCCTCATTTGTTTACTTAGTGGAATTTCAGGACGGAATTCTTCTAAGGAGAGGATATTGTTATGATTGGTTTTAAATTATAGTTGGTCGAGTTTTGAAGTTATTATAACAATGGTAAGTTCAGAGATAAAAATCTAGTATTTGTGGGAAGATGAGGGACCAATGGTAAGACATTGGTCACCTACTTGTGATGAGGTAATTTTGGTCCAATTTGTTCTTTTGGATTAATATGTTCATGTGAGGGGGGAGGGGTGCATGTCCATGCACCGCCTCATACCCCCCCCCCCCTCCTTTTGTTACTTTATTTACTATATATAGTAAGTGTTAGGAGACTTAGAAAGGTTTTCGGATTTCTTTGAGAAGAACTCTAGCAACTTGTTTATCAAAGGAAAGAAGGCAGAAGTATTCTTTGAGGTTTCAGACAAAGGTGAGTTGTTACAAAGTTTTAGTAAATTATGTGTTATAATGTTTTACATAAGTTGCTTTGATGCATGAAAGTATGTACTGTATTGGATTTAAGCTAATGTGTCTAAGTGTTATGGTAAAAAAAATTCTAAGTTTGTTATAGATTTTTATCGCCTAACACTACATCCGATAAGGCTGGGTCATCGCCCAAAGCCTTATCCGATGAGGCATTCATCGCCAAAGCCTTGTAGATGAGGGCATTCATCGCCAAAGCCTTGTAGAGGAGGCATTCATCGCCAAAGCCTTGTCCGATGAGGGCATTCATCGCCCAAAGCCTTGTCTCGATTGGGCATTCATCGCCCTTGTGTTGTCCGATGAGTGTAGTCATTACCCAAGTGTTGTCCGATGAGGGCAGTCATTGCCCAAGTACTGTCCAATTAGGGCAGCTATTGCCCATATGTTGTCCGATGAGGGTATTCATCAACCAACAATTGTTCTTTGTGGATATTCCAAATGTTAGTCATTGTGTTTGTGCATCACATATACCTAGTGGAGTAACCGCGATAGATGGCGGGGCAGTCGCGATAGATGGCGGGGTTTCCATGATAGATGGTGGGGTTTTCGCGATAGATGGTGGGACAGCTGCAATACTTGACAGGAAACTGCGATAGATGGCAGACCAGCTGCGATAGATGGCAGACCAGCCGCGATAGTTGGCAAGTTAACCGCGATAGTTGACAGGATACCTGCGATAGATGGTGGGCAAGCCGCAATAGTTGACAGGTTTATCCGCGATAGATGGCACGACAGCTGTAACAGTTTTAACAAGCTGATATCTGGATTGAATTTATTATTATTACTTTTATGAATGCGTTAAATGTTATATGAGGGAAATCACTCACTAGACCTTTTAGTCTAACCCTCAGTTGTTTTAAAATTTATTTTGAAGGTCAGCTTAGGGTGGAAAATAAGGGCAAGGGAAAAATGTGATCAGCAGTTGAAATATTTTTATCTTGTTAGATTAACTTTTGTTTAAGTTCAGACTCTTTGCTTATATGTATAGTTTAGACTGGTTTGTTGTATGTATTGGAACTTGTATTATGTTGTATACATGTTTATTATGTTATTAAGCTTTGGGCTGAAATGATGATTTATATGGGAGTTACTGGCACCCAGACTGTGCGCTTTATATCAGTTTGTAACTGATGAAATTTCTTGTAACCGTCACTATGTCCAACAATCAATCTAATTTAATGGGAAATTATTATCAGTGCTAATATGGGATCGGTTATGATTTGTTTATGCTTAAATAGTATCAATTTCTGCCAAAATCGATGCCGAGAATTGAGATTATACTCGAGTGAATTTCATGATACCCGGTCATAATAGGGTCGAAATATCACTTAAAGAAAGCGAGCTCTCACTCAATCTCAAGTTTGTCATCCGAAATTTATACAATCTTCATTTCTCTAGGATCACCTGTAACAAGGGATTGGCGTAGGTTGGGAGTTGGATGGGTAGGGTCCATTGCAAAGTAAATAAGTATTTAATTATACAAAATTTGGAAAAAAAAAACATGAAAAAGGCTAAAATGCTCTAAAAATAAGGGATGGAATTTAACCAAGGTAAGTTTTAGGAACGAAAATGGTAACAAATTGCAAACTATGATAAGGTTATCTTTTGTAAGTCGTGACATGAAATATAAGAATGGTTGGTATTAAACATCGTTTCTTCAAAATGATGTTTTTGGATTATTATTTTTTTAGCTTCAAGAGCTTTTCCATAATTTTCTTTAAATTTAAAAGATTTCGTTGAAAAACTAATTTTGTTTTTTCAAAGGTGCAGACTTCCAACCAATTAACGAAATAAATGTAAAAAGGAACTATTATTGAATATTTTAATAAAAAATTTAAAAATTAAATATATAAAATAATAACCTACTTTTATATTTATAAAAATTATTATTGTATTATACTTTCCCTTTTTATTATAATTTATTATAACAATATATTTTAAAATTATTTTTTATTAAGATATTATATTTAAAAAATTTATCCATTATAATAATGAGAGTTTTGATTTGAATTAAGATGACATAATATAAGTTACCAGGTATCCACATTATGTTATTAACCCTCGTGAGATGTCCAGGTGAACATATAATTGACACGACATTTCTTTTTAAAAAATTGTACTTTCAAAAATGTTAGACTCAACATAATATTTAATAAATATATTGGATTAATTTAGAATTTTCTAAATTACTCGTTAATATTAGTAACTACTAGTCTCACCTCACGTCTTCTAAACTCTTATCAAAAGTCATTTCCCGAGAAAAACAAATGTTTGTTCATCCTATCCCATGCTTTCCTCCAGGCCCTCTCCATTCTTGTGTAATCTGTTCTTTCCTCTCTCACTTTATCCTTTATATTCGCAACTCCCTCAAAATTCCATTTCGTATCCTATCCAACTTCTTCTCATACCATTTCTTTATTGACCAACAATTAAACCCATACAACAAATCTTTGATAACAATCCCTATAATTGTATTGTAACTTCACTTTCTTCTCACACAACCAACCTTCCCCTTTAACCATCTCACCTTTATGTGGTCTGTAACATCATCTTCATCTTCGACTTGTCCCTCCATTTTCAGGTACCCAAATGTTAACTTCTACCTCCTTGTCGCTATGTTCTTTTCTTTTCTTTTCTTTTTGTTGCTAAAATTGTACGCGAAGTATTTGGTCAACAAATGTATCCCTCCACTACAACTTAACGGACATATCTTCCTTCTATCTCTGATACTAGTGCCATGTTGTGAACAACCATCAAACACTCCACATCTTGTGAGAATCTCATCTAAAATCATAACAAAGAGAAATGGGCTTAATATCAAGAAAATACTTCGTCAATCCAATTTCTATTCCCATGCTCCAATACATCATACACTCTCTCTCAACTCTCCAAGTCTTAAATCTCTCCGCTCAAATTACAATTTGTCATTTCGGTTTCGGCCTGGATAAACTTTTCTTTCAAGATTATTTCATTCCAACTTCCACCCTCCGATTGAAAAATGGCCACACACAACACAAGTAACGAAATGAACTACATTGCAGCTTTTCTTTATCTTCATCGAGGCTGTTCTAAATCAGACCGTGTCATTAGTATGCATATTTTTCATATCATACATCTAGATGAAAATCTGCACATTTAAATCAAATCACAGTCCGGTAATGACAGACTCGTAATAGAACATCCAACAGCAGCCGTGGACTCATGATCACATTCAAAGATCCTAGAAAAAACCAAGCTTAACCAGAAACAGTGGAGGGTGGATGTTTACATCTCCCCACATTCGGCAATAATGCAGGGCAATTTAGGACGGTTGTTTGGTCCTGTGGCCACATTCTCGATCTTCCTCACCACCAAAAGGCCATCACCCAGAACTCTCTGTATCAATAGCAGCTACATTAGTATATCAATATTTTGCCATTCTGAAGAAAGGACTTCGATATGTTGCATTGCGTCTTTTTCTTTTTTTTTATGCTGCTTACTATTTTTCTAATCTTGGTTCTTTTCTTTTCACTCACTTTTGTTCAACTTGGGGGTATTCGCAGAAACAGACGCTCTGCCATTTTGGGTAGAGGACAGGTCTGAGTACATCTCACCCCTCCTAAACCCTGCTTTCGAGTAGGATATAATGAGCTTGTTTTGTTTGGTTTAGAAGAAAGGACTTTTGATATAACTAATGAATATGCAATACAATGCATGGGATATCGTGGGAGGGGGGAGGGGAGTGAGAGTTTGAGTTAGGTCTTGTTACCTAAAAATAGTTCTAGTGTTGATGAGTGATGTGGAGGTTACTCTTGTGCTTAAAAGATTTGTCCAACCATGGTATAGGGGTTCCTGAACCTGAGAATTGAGAGGAAGAATGTTTAAGAAAACCATCCTTATTCTTGGAATCTATAGTGCAACCAGACTCGGGTAGCTCAAGTTGCGACACTAAGCAGTGGCGAACAGGCCAAGGAAAATGGCTGAGAGATGATGGTCAACAAGGGATTTAAATATGATCAAGATGGGAATGTAAGAAAACTAGAAAAACTTGGGTAGTTGACAACCGTGACATGAAACATCCGATTGACGTGACAAAGAGATTTAAGATGACACCAATGTAGGTGATACGGTGTTGTTTGCATGGGAATGACGGCATGATGGCAGTTACACTGCTACCAACAGCTGTCTTTAGTGGTGCTAAGATCTAATTACCAAAATCAATGTTTTTGCGGTTCAAGAAGATTGTATTATTGTAGATCCACGAATATATTACGGGCCCACATACATCGATAGATAGACATGCTAACAACTTATTCAGAGTAGTTATGCTTTTATGTACACTACATTGGTTGATTTATTTTTTCTGTTTTGCATAAGAGATGTGAACCAAGGAGAAAGAACATACCCCAAATACCACGTGCTTATTGTCAAGCCAATCACACTTGGCACAAGTGATGAAAAACTGCAGCAGAAAACAAAACATCATATAGTTAAGATGCCAAGTGTTAAAGACGGCAGAACTATAGCAGCATACACATAAACCCAAATTTACCCAAAAAATGAAACATAGACCACTATGATTGATAGTAGAGTAGCACACCAGCCATCCCTTGATGATTTTTGCCATTACAATGTACATTGTATAACAAAGAAGATGGGATCTTTTTGGTAATTAATATATGAAAAAAAATAGAAGTACCTGACACCCATTCGAGTTTGGTCCACTGTTGGCCTGCGAAAGATCAGAAATGCTTAATTTGTAAGCCTAAATGATAATACAATCTCAAAACTCAAAATATAAATGCTTATCTTCCCCAAAAAATTGGTATGTGAAATAGCAATAAACCAACAATAATTTGGGGTAAGAACTGTGTTGCTTCTCAAATTAATACCTTACGTTCTTACTAATATTATAACTTTGTCATCAAAGCCAAGGTTAGGGTCCATTGAAAGAAAGATAAGAAAATGAAACAACAATTACAAATGAATATAAAGATAGACATAGGTGGCACAAGAAGTGAAGTCATGTACTTTCAGATAATCAAACTAACCGTAGTTTTTGTATGATGGTTGTGCCAATTTTTAGTTTTTGCATCTATGAAGGCCACTTATAAAACAATCATTCATCATTCTTGTCAGGAAAATGCAGAGGAATAAGCCTTCAGTACTCTAAAATTCAGTTAAGTTGTGATGCATAAATAGGATGAAGATGAAATTTAACAGCATAGGGACAAACAAGATGTTGTGCTAATAGATTTTAAAGATGAAGGGGAAAATAACTAAATAGAAAAAGGACATGACTGCTGATGTGAAAGGGGGAAAATAACCATGGACACGATATAACTGGCTACACGGTCTAACATCAAATGAAAGAAGCCTTTGTTTCTTAGTCTTGTATTTAATAGCTTTACATGACGCCACACTTGGTTCTTTAACTTGCAAAGATTTAACTCCAGAGGTGAAAAATAGCATAATGTGAGAAACATATTACAATGAGTCGATCATTAGATAATCATGTCAAACACCGACTCTGAAGCAACCAAGGGTTGCATAGCTCCACACTGTTTTAAATCCTGGCCGTTCATTGAATCACAAAAAGCAATTGGGTGGATGGATTACAGTTTGAACCAATATCAAATGAGGACACATAACTATGAAATATTATATACATGATTATTTATACTAGGAAGAAAAACAAAGGTTACTCCGTCCGAGGGATGAAAATTGCAACAACATATGCATGTGGGTACAAAAACGATTTGACTATTAATCATATATCAGAAACATCCTTCCATAAAGAAAAAACTAGCAAGTGTTGAAAATTATTTCTTAGTTTCAAAAAAGAAAGTAAATCTTATTAACAACAGTGTTTAGACTTTAGCAAAGATGACAGAGGCAGCTATGTTATAGATTCTTATTTGGCATCAAAATACTTCGCTTTGAATCAAAAGTTGAATGAAATAGATTATTGTTTCGATATTAAAGTACCTGCCTTTGTGTGTGACCTTTTGTTATTAGGATGGAAAATGCACACCATGCAAGAAAAATGGAGATTTCATATGCACATTATTTACTGTTTGTTGATTAATTTGACTCCAAAAGAGCATCAATATATAATGTTACCATGCCTCCGCACAGAGAGGCAGATCTGGGAAAAGGAAGAGAAGGGTGTGAAGTTTTTTAGAGAAAAACAAACATGTTCTATTGTGCCATATTGTAGGAAGGAAGCAGGTTTCTTCAGGGAACAGTTACAGAACTGGGGGGCTGATGATTTTATGAGCTTGAAGTTATTTAAATGATGGTCTAAAATAATAGTTGGATGGTTTAGTTCACTTTTAACCTTTTGAACCACCAAACCATCTTCGACATCAGTGGTTTTTCCTGGTTCACCCAACACATGGCATTTTAACCTTTTTCTCGAGTTCAGATGAGCCAAAAAGGACTGCCCATAACCTAGGTTATGTATATCTGGCTGGACAAATGCATGCTCATTGCTCAATCCTCTGATCTATCAGAGTGGAAGTCATCATCTACAACTGTCCGCTTGATGTAGTCATCATTTCTATTTGCAACCCAATGTCAAGGCTAGTCCTGTAACCACACCCAACGTTACAACCAATTTAGCCTCGATAGCCATCACATGCATATGTAAAATGTTCAAGAAGTCCACACCTCTTAGGCTTCAGTGAACTTGTCACTCCCCTGCTGGTGTATGCAACAAATGAAATCGTGATTGCTTCTGTCCAAGAAAAACCTTCATCAGATAGTATGGCTGTCTATGCATGACTCACAGTCCAGTGTCACAGCACAAGCACAATGCCGAGACCAAGTAGGCAACTAGAGGTTCGCCAAGAAAGCATTCTCTAAGGAATTGTCTAGAATAGTTTAGAGTTCTCTAGAATGTATGAGTGTTCTATAATACGTAGAATGTTCTAGACACATGTAGAAGCTAGAAGAAATATAGGAGAACCTTGAGTGTTCTTGGATAGATTGTTCCGTGGAAAGGTGGAGCTCCCTATAGAAAGGGGGAGCCTTCATTTTATATCCAAGAAAATTTCAGAGTTGACTCGGACCAAGACAGAACTTTTACTTGTTCAAATAACAATTACCTGACTTGAATGATCCTGTATTAAGAGCTAAATTGGCTACTAATTCCAAGGTTTCTCTGAATCTGAAATGGAATTGGCTTAAGCATTTTATTCGAACAAATTTAGAACCAAAATGGATGAGATTCAACAACTAAAAGAAAGATAGATTCTTTGGGAGAGAGTAAAATTTAAATTTTATATCTAGTATTCCTTTTAAGGCTTTCTTAGCACAACCAATAATACATCATCGTTGGTACGGCCACACAAAATAAGACCGACAATAGTTGCCCACTTCTATGATCCAAAACTTATTCTCTCTACTTTGTTGTTGTTGGGGTCTCATTTGTCATTACAGCTTGATGTTAAATTGATAACTTCAGGAACTTCGTTTTGCTGATCTTACGTCATTTATGGTTTGTGTTTAATACGCAAATTCTTTTTATTGGTTTCACTGGGTAGAGTAGTAGTTGGACTTTCTGGTCGACTGGGAAAGGGATAGACCTGTGAACCTGATTCCATTTTCAAAGAACCTCATTCTTGAGATAACTCAACATTTCCAGCATACCATCCAAAATGACTAATATGAGAAGCATGAGAGGCATGAACTGAATCACCCACTCAATGAGAAGGAAACCTCAAGCCTAGCCACAGCGAGAGTTTTATTTTTGGGACAAATCTATTACACAATTCTTCTGTTGTTGTTGCCCAACTATTAAGCATGTCAACCTCAGGAAAGATGTGAATACAAAGGGGGTCGCACATGTTCTGCAGTACCCCCTGTGAATACTCCGCCGGTATGAAAAGTTCTTGATGTTAATTGAGAGCTCGGTTTTTCAATAGATTGACCTGCAATAATACCTACGGCTTCTCCCAATTGGACCAGGTCGTCATGAGCTGGACTCCGGCCATAACATAATTGACAAATCCAATATCGACTCCTACAAGTAAAGGGGGGTGGAATAGAGCTTGGTTGTGCTCTAAAAGTTATGAATCTATTGACAAATGCAACCCCAATATCTTGATTTCTAGTAGCAATGCATCACGAACCAATATATATATATCATCTGCTAATACATGCCCGATAAATGTTTGAATAAAAATCCTGTCCATCATCATCCCACTTCAAGGACTTACAAAAATACCTCGAACGGTGCCACAATCTGTTCGACGTACAACAATGTGTTGAACTACTTCAACAAGTCTGCGCGTAAGATATCTTCTGATGTTCGGATAGCGGTATCCACAACTCCTTCACGGACTCCGTAACAAATATTATATTTTGTTAAAGAGAGTCCTTCGCATAAATTGCTTTGAATGGGTAAATCAATCATTTGCCCTTGGGGATCCGACATTAATCCTCTCATACCTATTAATTGATGTACCTAAGATGCATTTCCTCGAGCTCCGGAAAAAGACATTATGTTAGGACAGAAAATCAGTATTAAATTGTATTCGTCTTGAAAGTTAAATATTGTCTATAATTGTAGAAGTCATCGTGTTTGACTTTTCTTAAATAGTTTGACTTTGACCTTGTTTAGTTGTTTGACCCTATAAATAGGGTATTTGTCTTGTATTTTGAAGAAGGAGCTCATTGTAAAATCAGATTACGTAAAGTGAAGTTTGACCACTTTTAGAGCATTGACTTTCTCTCTCAACTCTCTCTATACTGTTATTGAAGATTTATCAGATCTGCCATGGTTATGGAGCTATATTGAAGATTGATCATTGTTAGGGACTCACAATTGGTATCAAAGCAGGTTTGCAAGAAATCAGATAAGAAATCAACATGTTTTTGAAGATTTTTTCGAAATTATTTTTCTGATATTTTTGTGTTCTTCGTTGTGTTCTTAAAGTTTTTAGAGTTTGATCCGATTTTTTTTAAAATCTCGTGTTTTTGTGTTTAAATCGTGATCAAAATGCTCAGAATTTCATTGTGAATCTTTGCTATTCACAAACTTTTGTGATTTGATCATCCAATTCCAAGATTTAATCGAATTTTGTGTTTTGAAATTTTTTTTACGTGTTCTTGTTTTTTTTAATCCAGTGTTTTTGATCTATTTAGTTAAAACTTTCTTTTGTTTTTTATGTTTTTGGGTCTAAATCTTAAAGCCCATCCGGATTAGGCAGGCCCAAGAGGTTTTCTTTATCTTCTTTACTCAAAGGAACAGGTTGATCGAATTCGGACACTTGAGCGAAGACAAGGTTCATCGATTTCAGTCACAGGTAATTCAGTTTGATCGTATTCAGACATTAGGTAAGTTTGGATTGACCGTATACGGTCATCAATTGAGCGATTTGTGAGCGATTTTGAACAAGTAGGGAGCAATTTAGAGATTCCCTTGTGCGATTTAAATTCTGTGGTGAGCGATTTAAGCAAGAGAGTTGAGCGGACTAGTAATCGGATAAGCATCATTTCCTTGAGCGATTAACAGTTAGTAGTGAGCGATTTACTGAGCGATTTAGAGTTGGTAGTGAGCAATTTACAATACAAGCAAGCGGACTTCTTCTAGGTTGTGAGCGATTTATTCTTAGGTTTGATTGATTAACTGTAAGCTTGAGCGATTTAGGAACTTGTTTGAGCGGTTTAGAGATCAAGGCTTGAGCGGATTTTATTAAATCGCTCACCATGTTTTTGATCAATTTT